CTCACAGGACTCGAGCATTGACCCCAGCTGGCATTGTCGTCCAACGTGGCACCAAAAGCTTTGTAAAAGAGAAGAAAAAGGGCAGACGGATTTTGCGAGTTATGGCAGCTTTAAAGTCGCCATTGAGCTGGTCGTTGTAACGCTTAAGCAAGCTCTTCATCCTTCGTTCGGTGAATGCATCCCATCCATCGCCTTTTCATCGTTCAAGTCGCGCACCTCGCTTTGGGTCCTTCGTGATCGCAAGCGCTAGAGCGACCGACAATCACAAGTCACGTGCGCTTCGAAGAGCCCGCATCACTCTTGACTCGCACGGGTGAGGCCCTGCTCCATGCTGGCCGTGATCGGCCAAAGCAAGTCGTGATGAGTCACGAGTTGCTGGAGGACGCAGCCGCGCGCGATTGAGCCTGCATGCATATGTGCATCATCTGTCAGGGTTTGGTCAGCAGCACAGACCATGCACATGCACATGCCATCTGTGATGATGAGCAGGGTTCAGCTCAGATGCAGCAGGCAATTGACGATGTTCTTTGACAAAGTCACCCGTAAAGACATGTGTGTGTGTGTGAGTGTGTGTGTGTGTACAGCGAGCGACCCGTGACCGTGGATCGTGTCACCACAGATGCTTAGACTGATCGAACCGTTGGGTCATCCTTCGCCCGTGCTCAGCCGAGCTGCCTTTGCTCATGGGTGGGGGCTGTCAAGACTCGCAACCCGTGGCTGGCGATCCGCACGCATCGAGGGAAGGGGATGACGTCTCAACATGGCTGTGGTAGTTGTGCTAGGTCATGGCTCTGCACGCCACGACTCGCGTGGAGATCGCAGGAAGCCTTTGTGCGCTTTTGTCGCCCTTCGAGAATCACAGTGGAAGAATTGATGCGCAAGCGAGAAGCAAGCAGTGTCAAACCTCGGCTGCTCCCGCCTCCTCCTTTCTTCTCACCACACCCACTCGCGACTGTACAAAGTGTCTTGACACGCCAATTCTAAAAGTCAAAAGTCCCGAAGCGAGCGAGATCTTGCGCCACGTATACCACAACCCAAAGCGCTCACAGTCACATATACGCTCAATATGGCTGGCAGCAAAGGAGGTGAAGCACCAGGAGGAAAGGGACTGACTGAAGCTACCATCCAGGACGCTCCTCCCGGTACGCGCAAGAGTCTGCTCAGCAACTTTGATTTCGATGGTGAGTGCAAGTGTTTCAGAAGATGCGCCAGCGAAGCAAGTCACAAGAGCGAGGAGCGCGTGGGTGGGAGAGCGGCGAGTGCGAGTGCGAGCGGCGGATCAGCGGATGCGTTCAAAAGCATCCAGCTTGACGCTATGAATACCAAGCGACACCTTCCGATGAGCAAATGAGGCTAGCCCTCCCCTCCCCCCCCTTTTCGCCCGCCCTGACATTCGCACTGGCCACCCCCGCAGAGCTCATCAAGACTCATCTGGCATCTCAGAACAGCGTGGTTAGCAACGTGGCGCTGTTTGACAAGGAGGATGGCCAACCCGTAGGAGCGTGAGTCACCCGTCTTCATGTGTGCACCTGCCTCTCCAAGTAGGCCCTGATGGTGCCATGCCACCCCGATGCCCGCTCATCGTGTGTCTCAACTTTGCCCTCTCATCCTCGTAGCACCATCCCATCCTTTGCCAACGCCTTTGCTCCAGAAGAGGTGAACAACCTGTTGGATATCTTTACTCGTCTTTCATCCCCTGCAGGTGATATTTCCAATGTGGACAAGATCACGTTGGGAGGAACAGAGTACACTCTTTCAGGTCCTCGCGGTAATCAGTATCCAGCCGAGATTGCATCTTTGCACTCCGACAAGGTGAGTATGTGCGCATGTGCGCCCACTGCCAAGAGGGCTGTTTTGATCTGCTGTACCCACCACTCTTGTTGCTCGCCTCGCTTACCCGCTCATCCATCCGCTTGCTCGCCGGCCGGCCGCTCATGGATCTCGCAGAACGTCCTCTTTGCTACGCCCACCGCTACTTTGCTTCTCGTGCTCGAAGCTGCTCCTGGCGCCGACACCAAGCAAGCGACGGACGCAAAGCAGGCATTCTACACTGCGGTCAAGTCCTTCAACGAGGCTTTGGCAAGCAAGGGCCTGTAGAGGTGTCGGCATTGCGAGGAAGAAAAGCAGAATGAGAAAGATACACTTGTGCAGCAATGTGAATAGCGATTTGCATGCGGCAAAGTCAAGAGTCAAGTGTTGGAGGTATGGTTGTCCTGCACGTGTGCGAGGCTCGGGGTGCATATGTGTGCGGCAGTCACAGTGGCTATACACTCTGATGAGGTTTGCGCACAATCTTGAATAGCAACCGCTTGGTGGCATGATCTGCCGTGCTGTCTCTGCTCGCAGCGTCTCCATCTCCATATCGACCTCCAAAGTCCTCCTGCTCCACAAACACGTTCCACTCGCTTCCCCAAAGTTGTTTGAAGGATTGCACATCGTGTCTATAAGCCCTGTCGGTCTGTTGATTCCCCTTCCACTTGCCCTGCTTCTCTTCGACGGATCGACCGAGCGGCAGTCCGACTTGACGACCTAGGATCTGAGAATTTGGATGATGCGAGAGTAGACCGTCCAGAGTCTTGACGATCGACTTTTGCTCGTCTGCGGGCATTGCACGATGAGCGAAGAAGGACTTTGATTTGTTTCTTGTGAGACGTGTTTCCTTGCGCAATGACTCACCGAGATCAAACAGATGCAAAAAGCTTCCGATGTATATGCTGCCGTATCCGCCATCCTCTTTCGCCTCGTCGCGCACTCTTTGAACGTGCTGCTCATCAAACACATCGCACACCAACCATTTTGTCCCTCCGATTCGCTCTCGAGCTGATGCATCGTCGTACATGGCGTGTCCTGCATCCATGAGGTCCTTGGACAGATCAGCAGCTACCAATCGATGAGAAGGCACTCCATCCACGATCAATTTTCGCGTATCCTGTCCCATTGCGCAACCCAGGTCCAAATGTTTCTTCGGAGGTGCTCCTGCTTCTTCCCCTCCCGCTTGACTTTTCAGATGGGCAAGCAACGCTTCGTAAGTGCCTTGCGGTCCGCATGTATGTATAGCAGGCATCAAGAATCTGAAGCTTCCCAAGCATGGATAAGGCGCATGAGGAAAGACTTGATCCCTTGTTTGAATTATGTGCTGTACCAGCGCCGAAGTGGAGAGAGAGCTTAGGTAGGTAGAGGTTTGGAAGAGGGAGAGAGCTTCGTCTGGGATGGGCTGCTCGGGAGCGGAAGCGTAACGATGAGGATCGGCAGAGGCTACAGTGGGTGCGGACATGATTGCTAGCGAGACTCTTTATTGAGGAGTGTGCGTGTCAGCAATGATTCAAGGAGATCAATGCTATCGAGGTGTATTGTAAGCTGGGATAGGTCGGTAGTGATGGCTAGGGATGGTCAGGCGCCCATTGCTTGTTCCATACGACGTTGTATGGTTGCACGATCGCAAGCGAATGATCAGGACAAGTCGCGAGTCGGTGCCTATACACATGAGGGGTAAGTAGCATCAATCAGCTTCCTCATTCACCATTTGCACAGTCACACGTCACGATCACTCACGACTCTGTGCGGAGTACTGCACGTGTCTGTGGGTGTGAGTCGTGAGTGGAGGTCATGCCGACGGGGTTGTTTGCGTGCCGTGGGCCGTATAGCACGCTTTGCATTTCGACCCGCCGGCAGAGCGGGAGAAGCGTCAGTCACGAGTGTGGCTCTCTCGAGTCACCGTGATGCAACTCGTGCCGAGCAGCCGATTTGTGTCTGTAGGTACAGTAATTCAAATTGAAATCCTTAGCTTTCCCCCCTTGCCGTACCGTACCGTGCCGTACAGTCGCAAATGCTCGCGCTGCAGCGAGCTTTCAAGCTTTGCATTGAGGGTCTGCGTTGCAATGTCCGAGTGGCACCTACGAAAAGTCCTGATGCCGGTCTTAGCTTGCCCGTACAGAACACTCGCTGGCAGTTGCCCATCAGCATCCCGGAAGAGAGATCGAGGTGCTGGAGGGCCGTCAAGAAATACTTTATATGGTCAAATATGCTACCAGCAGGTGAGCTGCAATTGTCGACGACCCTTCTTGACCCCGCTGCGGCTGCGCAGAGGGTCAGACCTTTAGGCGGGAGTTGCAGGCGCCTCTACCGTCTCTGTATTGGTCAAGCGGCAAAGTCGCCGCAATACTCAAATCATACTCAGGAAAATCGCAAGCAGAAGATGAGGGACTACAGATCTATTTCGTTGCAGGAGATCAGCAATCGATGCGCTCTTGAGTGACGTTCCGATGGTACAGAGGTGTGAGACACAGCGTCAGATCGAAGGAGCACGTGCAAAGAGGCGTTCACTACATCATTCTATATAGCAGCAAGAGGTCGATGGGGCGAATCAGCTTTCGCTTCTCGTCCATCCGTGCACCGCGCGAGAAGAAGAAGAGCTTGCTGATTCCAGATCTTCTCGGGCAGAGGGGGATCGGGTGGGGCTCGTATGCATCGCAATATTGGTCGATTCATCCGTACGATCCCACTGATGCCTCGTCGGCGGCGGCGTCTCGGCGCTGGAAAAGTTGCTGCCTCTCCTCGTGAAGGGCGCATCGAAATTTTTGGAGGATTGCTTGGCGGCGGGGTCCGCTGAAGAGTATTGACGCTGCATGGCAATTTCATTGCGCACGTGTAAGCGAATGTCGGGGCCGACTTGTGGACTTCTGGAGCTGGAGCTATCAAAGGAGGACCTCTTCAATATCTGTTGAGTATAGGGGATGGAGTATGGAGCTGGTGGTAAGGGATTGCATTGCGCCTTTTGATTGGACTCCGCAGGTGGCATGGTCCAGAGCTGACCGATGACGTCCCGATGCTCTATGCCGAAGCCGCTGGTTGTCCGTACAGAACCGATGGTGGGAGCCGGCATGGTGAGAAGCGCCGACTTGCCCTCAGCCCAAAGATGCGAGTGGTAAACAAGTCGAGATGTGACCATGGTCCTGAGAGCTGCGAACGGCGCAATGGGAATTACGCTGAGGATGAGGTTCCGAGAGAAGATGAGAGTGAAGAAACAAGCTGCATTTCCGATCATCGTGATGGTGAAGACGATCCATGCCGATACAGTGATGAAATGGGAGAGTCCAGCACTGCGAGCGTGGATCTTGGAAATGCCTTCAATGCCAAATTGACCGGCGTGAATTGGCGTGCTGCCGGTAAACAGACGGTGTTTCGCCGCGTACACTGAAAAGACGAGGATCAGGGTGTCGAAGACCATTGACGCTGCCCAGCCCATGATGCGCCATTCGGGGCTTGGAGCTGGTGCGCAGCCAGGGTAGTACGGCTGCTGAATGATTTCGGGAATCGGCACCGTCTTGTAACCAGCTGCCGATGTGATCCACATACCGGTGACGACGAGGAGAAGACCGAGCATCGGTGCTTTTACCCTCCACTTGTCGGAGGGCAGCTGGTAGAGACCGCATATCCGCAGGAAGAAGATGATACTGGTGGTCGACCAAATGAGGGCAACGTTGGCGAGGGTGAATGAGAGGATGAATTGACAATTGTTGGGCGTTTCTCTCCACGCATAGACGCAGACGGACACGGCTCCAGCAACGCTCGAGTACCGACAAATAAGCGTCAAGATGTTGACGGGGATGATCTTGCCCTGGAAGAGAGACTTCCAGCGGGGTAGTTCTTCTGACCAAAAGGTCAAGATGTGCTCGTATGCCCAGATGCCAAAGATGATGCCGAGCGAAAGTCGATATCCTTCCACTTCATGACGCCTCCGCCAAGGATCCCCTGGAACGTACCACGACGTGCCGTCAACATAGAGGTTCTGAGGACAGCCACCGGGTGGACAAAGCATCTGCATCGTCAGCCGGTTGCGATGCGCTACGTTGCTGATGGCTTCCATGCTGGGCAAGCCGTAAGCAAAGTGGCGCATGTCGAATCAACTTTTCAGCGGTTGCTGATGTCCAGAGTAGCGGCGAAGAAAGGCTAAGCAGCGCTGCATCAGAACGACCACATTGCGGTCAAAGGTGGATCTCACCGTTGTCTGCCCTCTTTATGTAGGAAGAGCAAGTTGTGACTGGCCTCTTCTCATTCGAGGTCATGCCATCTTAGCTGGTGTCACACGATGCTGCGCCAGAGAGCATGTGCGCATGTCGCTCACTGGAGGTGGCACATGAGGGCGCTGCACTCGTGACTGGAGGTGTGGGCGTCTGACATTGCATGCAAAACGCACCTTCCCGTGCTTCGCGACCGCTGCCATCAATTGTGATACGGACAAAAAGCAAGAGCCACGTCATCTGTCGAATTTGGAGCGCTCTCGCTCTGCTAGTCGTGAGTCTAGAGGTTCGAGGCGGACGAAAGGACCAGAAGACAATCAATCGGGATGTCGATGGGCACTGATCATGTCCCCGGACAACAGCAAGAGAAGTAAGCGAGGCTGTTGCATTTGGGCCGACGCCCAGGCACCTGCGCGCTAATTCGCTACTGTACCTGCCTGCGCTTGCAGAGGAGCATGACCAAGCAGCTCTTGGCTTTCGTAGCCCATTCATGCGACTGGTCCGCTGGCCCAATTTTGCGCTTGTCTTCTGTACATATACAGCAAGGTGCCGATTTAAAGCTTGTGTCTCAGCGAAAGACGCATCAGCGACTGCAATGTAGCCCGGCTTGACTTCGCAGCGGCAAATCAACAGCATGATAGGTCTTTTGACTCAATGAATGATATCTCGGCGGGTGCAGATCCGCTCGCAGCCGAGCAAGCCAAGTGTTTGAGCGTAACCAAACGCCGAGAGCACGCTAAGATCCACTACTATGACTGCTGGACGTGCATGTTCGCTCGCCCATTCCGGGTGACTATTGTCGATGCTGAAGGTGTATGCAGCACGGACCACAGGATCGCCCTCCCTCCTGCTCGCGTCATTGTGAGTATCGCATGCCATGGAAAGCTTGCTCGACCGACGTCCAGTGG